TAATGGGTGTTGCACATCCCAGGAGTCTGCAATTGGCAGCATCCTGCAGCATGTGCATCACTGGCCACACCCAGCAGAGCACTTGGGTAAGCCCAAAGGCTGAGGCCGTGGGCCTTGAAGCCTTGCAGCCTAGGAGCCTTGGCCAAGGCTACAGCTCTCAGCATCCACTGAGGCTGGGCTCTGTCAAGTGAACAGTTAGACAAACACAGCAGCTTTGCTTATGTAGCACCCACCAGAGCAAGATGGAAGGTGTGTGCTGTCTGCCTCAGGGGCTGTTGGGCCCCTAGCTGCCTTCGTTTGTGTTCCGTTTACTGCTCACTTTGTAAACCTGTCTGTGTAAATGAGGGCTTTTGGAGGAAGAGCATATAACAATCTATTTCATAATGCAAGAATGAGATGGTCCCCATTGAAATTACAGAATAGCAATAACAGTAATAATTTCCCCTTTAAGGTCTGCTGACAAGTTCAACATTTAATTCTCAAGCAAATTATGTATTTGTCATTCAAACTGAATTATCTCTTTTGTAGTCCTCTGTCAATATATCAGTATTAACTTACAGTGATATTTTAATTTAATGTTTTGAAATATTTGTATTCCAAGTAGATGTGACATCCCTCTTTGGTTTGCACACACACTTTAAATTAATGAGTATGAATAAAATCAGTGTTATATCCTGATATCATATGACTCCAATTTCAACTGATTATAGCTTTGTAAAATTTGGATAATTTGGACTGATGTTTTTCCCCCAAAACTGATGATTTCCTTATCAATAAATGTTCTTGGAAAATTTTACTGAAGTATTTCAGTTACTCCCAGATGAAGTTGTGAGGACAATACTTCATGTTTTCCAACCTGAAGCCAAGGCCAAAAGTAAACTGTGTGTCACTGTGTAATCAAGCTCTTCAAATTGGCTCTGTTTTGCCTCTGAGCATACATATGCCTGTTGTGTTAGCAAGCATATATAACACATTATTTATGGCAGCTAATAAGGGGTTCCAAAGTAAATCTGGACCAAATCCAGTAATTTACTATTTCAGTCCTCTCTACTGACATTTTCTTCTAAGTCAGAGCTGATCAGGGTACTCATGCCCCCATGCTACAATTCACCATGTCCTGACTGTCCTTTGTGAGAACTATGCTGTACACCAAGTCATCAAAATCATCAGAGATATTAACATAATGATAGAGGCAAGGGTGGGAAAATGCCCTTTAGCCCTTAGCATCATCTTTTGGTGCAAACTACACTGCACTGGTGCAGCCCTGTTTTAAGTCCTGTGTGCAGTTTTGGTTGTCTCATTATAAGAAGGACATCAAACTCCTAAAGCGTGTCCAGAGGAGAGTGACTAAGACAATGAAAGGCCTCAAGGGCCAGACTTAGGAGGAGTGGTTGAGGTCACTTGGTTTGTTCAGCTTGGAGAAGAGAAGGCTAAGGGGTTACCCCATTGCAGTCTATATCTTCCTCGGGGGGCAGGGAACAGGCAAGCACTGCTCTCCTCTCTCTGGGACCAGCAAGAGGACACAAGGAAAAGGAATGAAGCTGTGTCAGGGAAAGTTCAGATTGGACATTATAAAAAGGTTCTTCACTGAGAGCATGGTCAGTCACTGGAGCAGGGAAGTGGTCAGGTCACCAAACCTGCCGGAGTTCATGGAGCCTCTGAATGACACTCTTAGCTGTGTGGTTTAGTTTTAAGTAGTCTGCCAAAAGCAGAGAGTTGGACTTGATGATCCTTATGGGTCCCTTCCATCTTGAGATATTCTGTAAAACACTGATGGTTTGATAAGAGTTGCCTGATTCTCAGACATACATATCCTTTCATTATCATGGAGATGCACCTCTGGGGAAATACATTTTGCAGTTGTGCTGTACAGGCACTACATTGCTTTTGCGGTACATTCTTTGTAACTTCTTTTTATTCTGGACCTATGGCAGGCTTGGAGTAAGCAGGATTTTCTCCTGGAGCTTACCAGGGCTGTGACTAGAGCTGAAATCTGGGAGTCATAATGCTATGGCCTTTCATGAAACAATTCGCTTCAAATTGTGGCCCTCAAATTGTCTTCTCTCAAAGATGATGCTATGTAAATCAAGAGAAGACTGGGTAACCTTTTCCTCTGTCTTTTTAAGGTGGGGGATTTTAACCATCAGGATTTCAAAAATTCAGTTTCTGCATCAGATTGGATTGTTGGAGGTCTCTCACATTTGTACACAGCTACGTGCAGATAGTCATCTGTATGTGCGAAGATGAGGGTTGAAGGCCAAACTGCTTGATGGCTAATTGCCTGGAATTTTTGATCACCAGTTGGTGTTGCTGTCCTGCCTACCTGAGATCTGTGAGAGGCTTGAAACATTGACCCCTTTTGTTGTAGCTGAATGTCATTCTTACTGACAGATAGTTTTTCTATAGCTTTTGGTAGTTAGGAAACAGCAAACATCTTAAAATTACAAATCCTTCCTTTCAGTTTCCTCAAAACTGTTTTCATAAAGAGCTGCCAAATCAGCATCTTAGAAGATAAACCATCTAATTAAGGAAACTTCTGAACAAGTTTACTTCTTTTATTTTAATATATTTTAATATATTTTCTTATATTTACTCCCTATTCCTCAGCTGCTGCTTTTGAAATTTGGCATATGCCTATCTGGCTAATATACTGTAAAAATAATATGTTTATAATTTTAAATATTTGATTACCAATGAATATTAAAAAATTAGAAGACTAATGAGAAAATTAAGAATTCTCTTTTTAGAGCAATATTGTGTCGGGTGTACAGTAAATAAGACCTCAGGCCAAACACTGAACAACTAGCAGAAAACAACCTATTGACTCATTGTTTTTCGATGAACACCATCCACCCTATGTATAATGTGGAGTTCTGTGGAGAACATGTTATTCAATGTTGTAATTCACAGCTGTATCATAATGCATGCACACCAGAGGGGTAAATTGTTTCTGGTATTTACTGTCTTCAGAGAGTTGGAACCGTCTTCTTGTGTGTGTGTTGTGTACATTTTGTAGTGTGAATGATAACACTATAAGACCAGGAGATGGTTTGATGTGGTTGAAGTATTCAATCAGGAAGACTTGTAAAATACAGTATTTTGCTTAACCAGTGAATCAGATGATATTCTGCATTTTCCACTGATGAAGAATAATGCAAGAGGAGACTAGAGCTGCAAAGCTTTTAATTTCTATTCTAGTGTTTTAAATTCATGATTGCCTTGGGGCAAATCGCTTTATCAGCCTCTGATCTTGGTTATGCTGGTAAGCCTGAAGTAATTCAATCCAAAACAAAGGAATTGAACTCAATTTATATGACCCCAACAGATCAAAATCTATCTCTAAAAGTGCAATGTAACAGCTAAAGGGGGTATAATTACTATTTGCTTTATTTAATCCATCAAATTTTTACTGTCCTCACATAGAATTTCTGTAATTATTATTGAGTTTTAACCTTTGCTTGTTTAACCTTTGCCCTCTACAAGATGGCAAAACAAATAGTTTTGGAGGAGAAGAGAGTACTTTCTTTCCTGTTCCAACAGTATTTCAAAGATAAGATGCTATTTGAAATATCTTCTCTAGAGAGAATTGTTTGGGGTAAGTATCTGGGATTGCATTGAAAACAATTAAATCATAGCATCCTGCCATCCTTGAGTATATTGCATTGAAACCTAAGTGCTTCATTTTGTTTTCGTATAGTGATTACTTTAGGTTTTTCCTTTCAACTTTGTGGAAAGTTTCATTGTAGCCTAGGAGCTACATTTTGCATACAGTAAAGCCTTCCATCTATGAAAGGACTGCAAACAAGTAAAGCCTCACAAGTAAAGCCTGTCCTGAAGGAAGAAAAAATATCTATGATAATTAACACTTAAAATGACATAACCATTCAAGTGGCAGAGCTCCATGTTTTGGCTCTTACTTTCCAGATCTAGCTTTATCACTGCCTCAATGGAGATAAAAGGTCCAGAAAATAGCTTTAATTAAATCATGAATTATGAGTCTGTTTTAGCCCTCTGCTTAGAACAGCGACAAGTATGTACAATGTAGATAGTCCTGCAGAAAGTTTTAATTGCAGTAAACAGACTTTGATTGGGTCTAAAGCTGTAACAATGTGAGAGGAGGCAAAAAAAAGGTGGTGCCATTAATGTGGTTGCAAGCATACCGATGGTTAGGAGGTGGAAACGCCCTGACGGGTAGACACATTGGAGCCGTTTATAGAGGTAAGAGAATTACAAAGGGTTTTTCTCAGGGTTAAATCCTCTTCTGTTGAAGGATTAAGTTGCTGTAGTTAACCTGATCATAGGTAGGCAGCAGTGTGAGTAGCAATAATAAAGTAATTTTTCTTTTCTTATCCAGAACCAAAGAGGAACTGGGCTATAGTTGGATAACTACATATAAACCATATAATCCTTCTTCCTCCTCTGCTTTGCTTCTCTCTACCTAAAATGTTAGTAACAAGTAGATAGCTGTTATGAAACAAATTCAAAGTAACAGGTTTGTTCATAATGTGGTAAATTTGGTAAACTATCTGAAAGAGTGTGATTTCTTGTTTAACTGAAAATGATTTTTGAAATGTTTCTTTATTATGACAAGTCCATGAGGAAAATCACTGATTCAGACTTGGTCCATATTCCAAAATGGAATTTTAAATTGTTGACTTCACTGTTAAATATTTTTGGAATCTTAGTCTGTTGCTATTAGCTAACTGATCTATTCTTCTCTGGAAGAAAGGCTGCATCTCCCTATAAACTAAGTGAGCATTGTGAATGGGTAGCTCTGGCAGCATTTTAAATGTATTGATCAATAGATTTATTTTATTAGTACTGCTGGTAAGAGAGACTTGAATTTTGCTTTTTCATGATTGCATCCACACAAGACTGCAAATAAAGAAAGGGATGCTTCCCATTCCCACTGAGACTGCAAGCCTCAATACCAGTATAAAATGGGGTCTGGAGGGAAGCTAGGGCAGGAGACTCTCTCCAGGCAGTTGAAGCTGAAGCTGAGACGTAGTAAAAACAGGTAGGCAAATTAGGATTTGACCGTGGCTGTTAGAGGGAAGGTTCAACAGCAGATTTCCTGGGCTCCGTATTGCATGCTGATTGTGCAAGGCCTCTGGGGTGGTCCAGATTAGACCTTGTATAAGGCCCCAGACACGCCTCACAAGCTCATAGAAGGGATTTTACATCAAAAAGATATAAGACCCCAAAACCTGCCTGACAGATTTATTTAAGGGGCCCTCAATTGTTTTATACTTTGAGGCCACACATGGGAAAAATGCTACAACTTTTTCCAGGTCAAAGTAACGCACTTTTACTGGCAAACTTCAGAAAATAAGGGAACTTGGCAAAAGTTTAAAGCAAACATTCAAATCAACATAAAGCACTTCACAAAGCAGTGACTTAGCAAATTGCAAGCCATACAGTTTTAAGTTACCCAAATATCAAGAAAAGGGAATTAGGAGAAGAAGCAGCAGTAAAGAGAGAGAGAGAGAAGACAGACAGACAAAAAATTATAGCTCCCACCTTAGTTCACACATAGAACCAGCTAAGCCCAAGCGAAGAAAGACAGGGCCACAATCACATAGAGGTTTTGTGCTGTGATTTTTACCTGCTCTGGCCTCCTGTGGCCACCCCCCTCCCCCCACGTGGGGCTTCTGGTCTGCCAACCTTTCTGGGGCTGAGTTCCAGGGGCTCTAGGTGGTGTGGTGTGGGATTTCAGGTCTGCCAATGGCCTTTCTGGGGCTGGGTTAGGGGCTCGGGAGGGGGTGGTGGTGTGGGGCAGTGCTTCTGGTGTGCCAATTACTGACAGCTGCACTAGAGGCTCTCAAGGAGGAGGGTATGAGCAGAGCACAGTTGCACCTTGGCAGAACCTGACCTGCCCCTTCTCACAGATACCGACTTGTTTTGAGCCAGTAACTTTTTTTGATTCTCTCATATCTTGCTTCTCAGTTATCAAGCTCTGCCGTGTGCTTTAGAAACTGCAAGTATTATTCTGTGTTCAAAATCAATACTGGAATGACAGATTCTTGGTGCTGCCTGTACTACAACTTTGTATATTCCCTTGTTTAGTTGACATAAAAGGCTGCAGTGACTCCTCTGGATCTTGACAACATGATCCACCAGATTCCTGGACACTTAGCAAAAAAATTGCTGAAAGAGTTTGCCAGTGCTCCTAGAGCTAGGGATAAAACCAGTCTTGTCTCCTTCCTGTACATCTCCCTGTTTGGAAAGAGATGTTTAGGCAAACATGCCTCTCTAATTCAGATTTACTAGCCCTTTCAAATTCAGACTGTTCTTCCTCAGATAGAAAATAAAGCAAGTTAAACAGCATTTTGAGGTGCATTAAAATGGAATCTAGGAGTTGAAGTAGTCAAATGTGATTAAATGTGGAATGGCAGTTTGACCCCATTTGCCTACTACTGTAGTTATGACTGAGCCCACCCTCTGGTAAATGTTCAGTGCCATCATTTCACTAGGAGTTATTAAAATTCATCACCTATAAAATATTAAGTGTGCAAATACTATGAACCCTCAAAGTTCACTCTGTCTTAGACAGTGGGTCTGGGTGTACTTTTTTCTCCAGAATGGCAGGAAGCCTTGGGTATTTTGAACTGTTCTTAAAATTATCTGTGTTGGTCACTGAGTTGTTCTTAAATCTTTTTCTTGCAGTACTGAAAATGTGGTAAGAGCTGTGCAAAAGTGAGCTGTTGGGACCTCTGTTCTTTCTGAAATGCAGGGGTTTAATTTTTTTACTATATGATATGACTGAGAAGTACTAATAAGCAATGTTGGATGGATTTTGTTGCAGATTGTTTTCGTTTCTCGACTTTTTCCCATATCACCAAGAATTTGTAATATACTAAATCATTATCGTCTCTTCTTCATACTTCTTAAATATTTTTCTTGTTTGGATGACTTTTGTTTTTGTATCTATTTCTGTGTAGGTCAGCTCTCAAAGCAATTAATTTATTAAACTGTTAACTTGAGTTCGGTTACCATGTCAGTTGAAAATAAAAGAGGTTTGTTGTTTGGATATTTTTTTTTTATTATTACTTGATAGCAACTTAGAGAATTTCTAAAATAAACAGGTGATGATCTGTTTTGTATGTGAAACTGTTCAGAACGAATGTGTACCTAAGGGACTGAGGGTCAGGATATTGTTAGGCAGATGAAGATCCTTTTACATCCCACTACCCTTTCATTTGATCTAATAGAAACAAGCATCCTTTTCATGAGATTTGAATGAGGACTCAGAACTTGGCCAATATACATATAATTAATCTATAGGACTCTACTTAATATGTAGGCAAGAATCAAAATTGCCTAATTTCATTGTACAGACTCAGTCTACATGCATGGTAGCATAAATAACAACTGTGCTAAGAAATAATCATTGGATGGTTAGTAGAATTGAATTTGTGGTTGCAGTGATAAACACAGAAATCACTGTGTATTTACACTTTCATATGTACAAATACACTCTTTGTAAGGGAGGGAACATGGATACAAGTGGAAATCAAATACACTGGCTGGCTTTTGCATCACTGGGGTCGATACTCTGTGAAAATACAACTCATGACATGTATGACAGCTACTCGTACACCCCAATAAGTGTACGATTAGTTGTCATGGCATGTAGCTTTTGTAATATATGTCAGTCTTTTACAGTTTTACAGTACATCTGATTGGTTACAGGCAATACAAATGCATGTGCCCTTGTACAGCTGGCACTCTAATTTTTAGTTTAATGACTTCTGCTTTTAATATTTAATTAGCTGTTTTTCTATGGTAGGCATAAGATAATTTTTTTTCTTAGATATGTGATTTGGCCTCATTTCAGAAGCAAGTAAATAAAAAATGGGCTACCTTTAAAATGTTGAGTCCGTGAACATCCTGTATTTTTTAAATTCTCCATAGGATATAACAGTGGATGAAAAAAATTATCTTTTAGTGCTTTCAGTACTCATTGTGATGTATTTTTTACCAAACAAGGTCATGTCTATGAAACTGGAGTGTTGTACTATGTACTGTGAGCTTTAATGAGGTCTATTCTCATTGTAGACCTAGGGACAAACTGGAAAAAAGCAACCATCTAGTGAGGGCTGAGGACATGTAGAAGAGACTATTATAGTTGTCACTGCTGTTGCTTAATTTCAGAACTCGACAGTTTATTTTTGTCACCGCTCAAATGCAAGGCATTTTGTTAACATTCTGTGCTGCTATGGCTATGATTTTTAACTAAAGAAAAAAAAATTCTTATAGCTTCCCGGACTTGAGCAGAATTGCTTACATAGTTCTAGCCACATTTCACCTGCCTGAGCAAAAAGCATGTCATGTAGTGCAACTGATACTAGTAATTTTTATGTTAAAAACTTCACTACAGGTCAAGTCTGTAGTTGCTGTCAAGAAAACTGAGACTTACATATTATGCGGCTGAGTCCGCTAAGTGAAGGACAGTTATTTGATCTCTGCAGGTCAACTACATAATTACTGAGAATTTCATGCCAAGGAAGGGGATGCGACACATGACAGAGGAATGTAACAGAGTGTATGTAACAGATAAATTGGACACATGACAGAGGAATGTAACAGAGTGTGTGTATCCTCTGTGAATGTAACAGAGGATGTCACCAAGGCTTTAAAACTCCTATTTTAAAGGCACTATCCAGGTATTAGTATATAGCACTAATAATATAAAAAAGGACCCACTGGAACCCCCATGAGTATTTGTTGTACAAAGCTACTGGTGACAAATGAACTCTGTTTTTAAGTGAGTGCATTTGGAATGGTAGTTATCGAGAGAAAAAATGCATGTGTAGCTTTACAATGCTATTTTTTGTGAGGATTTTTAGAGAAAAACTGAACTTCAGCAAAGTTTTACATATTAACACTGGCAAGTGTAGCCAATGCTACTAAGGTTTGTTGTGTACAGAAGATTAAGGATGGCAGGAGCTACCCAGTAGCGAGGGAAAATATGCTAAATAGAGTATCTATAGAGTGCTTTTTATTATTGCACAGATTTATGGATGGGAGGGAGGATAAGGTAGCTCACCATTAACCTTTTGCAGAACAACAAATTCACCACATTCTATATGTCTGTCTCAAAATAGCTAGACCACAGACAATAAAGATGGTTGCATTTTGCTTTCCAAGTGATTTGTGTATCCACTGTTATACAATCTAAGCCAGTCAGTTGAATTTCTTTAATCTATTTTAATTATTCCAGGAAAATTCAGTTAGGCCCCACTTAAAAACGGTAACTTACAATATGGGTGACTTCATAGAAATTTCATAGAATATTCTGAGTTGGAAGGGTCCTACAAGGATCACTGAGTCTGACTCTTAAGTGAATGGCCCATACAGGGATCAAAACCACAACCTTAAGGTTAGTAGCACTGTGCTCTAATCAACTGAGCTAATTTCAGGACTTGTAGACATTTATGTTTACACTGTCGGAACTGATGCTCCTTTCCTACCCAGCCTAAAGGCAATAATCAGTTATTGCACTGGGGAAACAAGATCTGTGTCGTTGCTTAGCAGAATTTCAGTGACACAAGGATTAAAACCAGCTTCAGATTCACACTGTAATTATAAAGAAAATATTTACATCCTGTGAAGAAGCAGTGATTTTCACTGGAAGAAAATATAAAGGAGAGAATGTTACTTAAAATATGTGGGAATGACATTTATCCGTGAATGAATATCATCGCTGAGAGCCAACTTCATAACAGAGGAACACTGTAGAAAGATATGCCATGCAGAGCAGAGAAAAAAGTTACTTATCAGGAGAAAAAATAAAAAAAAAAATTCATACTGACAAATGTAGAAAAGGAAAGCACATTTTTTACATGAAAAAATTACAGTACCTTTTCAAGCAAGGAAGCATTTCAATCCACATCTAGAAAAAGTATTTTGGTTTTGGAGTTTCCTAAGTAATTCCAAAAGTACATAAGCTGAAACAATGTGTTTTGATATTTAAAAAACACTTTGTGCTTTTAAAGAGAAAAAAAAAAGAAAAAA